GCAGATGCGAGGGGCAAGTTTTCTTTTACACAGAGAGTGGTAGGAGTCTGGAATGCGCTGCCAGGGTTGGTGGTGGAGACTGATACAATAGGGGTGTTTAAGGGACTTTTAGATAAGCACATAAAAATGCAAGGAATGGAGGGATATGGACCAAAGGCAGGCGGAAAGGATTAGTTTAATTTGGCGTACTGTTCTGTGTTCTTAGATCCCTTCATCAGATGGATAATTTCAGCAGACCTGAAGGTCACATTAGAAAGATTAACTTTTATTTTGTACATAGACTGACCTACTGTGTATTCTAGCATTTTGCTTTGAAAGTCAAGATTCTTGGGTTTTCTTTGCCTCTCTAACATTTGTTTGATTTACATCATTAGTGAAATGCTAAATAAAAACAGGAAATGCTGGTGAAACTCAGTAGGATTGGCAGCATCTATGGACAGAGAAACAGAGTTAATGTTTCAAGTGCAATGTGACTTATTCAGAACTGGAAAATGGTACGTTCTATGTTGTTGATAGAGGGGCAGGAGTAAGAGGAACAGATGGTGAGGATGCCCAGAGGGAAAAAAAAGAGAATACTAATGGCTGTGAAGGAGGGATAGGGATGTGAAATGAGTGGAAATGATATGTGTGAAAATGTGTCTAAAAAATGAGTTCTAAGACTCAACATTGACTTCAAAAACATGACCTCTGTTCTCCATTTTGATGACATCCTCCTCCACCCACAATGGCCGTGCTTTCTCATGTCTTGTTGGATTTTCTCTAGCAGAGCAGACCCATTTTCTCACATATACAGGCTCCATGCCTATCTTCCCTACATAATTTAATATTTCCCAACCCTATTTTTGACACAAGTAAAAATGTGTTTGACTTTGTCAGGTTAGAGCTCAGACCCCAAAGAATGATAAATTGAATAAAGGACTTTTGGTTTGAGAAGCCCATCGTGTGCTCGTGTTCATAATTGAGAATGCCACCACTGATGCAACGTGGCAGCTGAGTGTACCATCTAAAGGTACTCTGCAGCAACTCAGATACCATCTTCCAAACTAACAACCTCTAACTCTGAGACCAACGAGGCAGATACATGGGAGTATCACCACCTGGAAGTTGCCCTCCAAGTCACACATCAAGCTGCCTTGGAGCCAGGGCTCAACACAGAAGCCTTACATCAAGGCTCAATAACCAAGACTCAGGGCTCTAAGGGGCCCACTGTGCTCAGCTCATCAGTCCAAGCCAGAAGCAGGACCCTGACCCATGATTTCCCTCCCTGCTTGGAACGATATTGCAGCTCCTTTGCTGCTGCTGCTGCGTGAAAATCCCAGATCTTCCTGCCTAACAGCATCGTGGATGTCCCTACATTATGTGGACTGCAGCAGTTCAAGAAGGCAGCTCACCACAACTTCTCCAAGGCAATGAGGAATATGCATTAAATACTGGCCTCGCCATTTTCGTCCACATCTCATGATTCAATTTTAAAACCTTATCTTATCATAGGTCTAGCAATCCAGTGCTCTGGACTTAAAATCCTGCAATGTTAAACTCATTTAATAGATTTGGAATAAACAGATTGAGTAATAATGATCATGCAATTACCGGACTGCCTTAAAAACATATCTTGATTCATCAATATTCATTTCACTTTCTTAATTGGGTCTGGCCTCTCCTGCTATCAGTAATAGATTAGTCCCCTCTGAAATAGATTCCCTAGGAATCCGTTCTGTTGTGAAGAAGCTGGTTTCTTGGCTCTGCCAACAATACCCACATCCTGTGTAAAATAATGCTTAAAATATTCAGTTTAACAATTCCAGAATCCTACCAACATTTGTTAAGATAAAAGGTACGCATCTTTTTCACCCAGATTAAGAGATCATTATGGAGGGATACAAAGGAAACTTGGGTTTTCAGCCTTGAAAGGAAAAATTGGTTTTAAAGTAGGGGATTCAATTACTCTTAATATTAATCAAATAGAATTAACATAAAAAAAGAACGAGTGGCCAGAATTCTTAAAATGCATTCAGGCAATTTTCTTTTAAGCCAATAAGTATATTGCAAGCTCAATGAGAGAAGGAACAGCTTCTGGCCTTGTTTTAAGAAGCAACGTTGAACAGATGGCACATGTATCAGTTGAGCAGCTTTCGTCATCATGATGATAAGTCTGTTAGATTTAGTGTTGAAACGGATAAGGACGTAGATGGACTAGGAGTAAAAAAAATTCAACTGTGCGAAGGCCAATTTTGCTAAGTAGATACATGATTTAGCAAAAGCAGACTGGAAAGAGTAATCTGATGATAATTGCAGTGTCATTGTAGTGGGAGGCACTTAAGGATGAGATACATTGTTCAAAATGAGAAGAAAGACAGTGAGTCTCCCAAGTTTCATTGATACTAAAATACAAATGAAGTTGTTAAGGCAATAAAAAGGGAAGCTTCTGTCAGGTTCAGAAAACTCAAAATTGCAGAAATCCAGTGAAGTGCAGACAGGGCAAGAGATGAAATCAAAAAAGGAAATCAGGAAACCAAAGAGAGGGTATAAAAAAAATTGGCAAGTAAATCAACAAAGTCTCAATGACTTTTTTAAAATAAATACGTAAAATCACAACAAGATAACCAAGGAAAAAGTGCCTATTGGAGAAAATAAAACACAGTAACTTGTGTATGAGGAGGAAAACATGAGCATGGTTCTTAACAAATGTTTTGGAAAGAATGTAATACAAGGTGCAGGAGTCCTAACCTCCTAAACAAAAACCAGTGCCACCCCCCAAGAATCCGGATGGAATAAAGTGCCTAACTTGCAGCAGGAACCTGCCACCAAGGCTTCCAACTCCTTAGTGGATGGGTGGATATCCCACTGTCCAGAGCTTCTAGCCAACTAGGGGCTAGCACGTCTCTTAGGAACAGGAGTAGGCCATTCAGCCCCTCAAGCCTGTTCCACCAGTCAATTAGATCATGGCAGATCTGTGGCCTAACTTCCTATCCTTTGGCCCATATCCCTTAATAAATTTGCTTAGCAAAAAAAAATCTCAAATTTAAAATTATCACCGATCCAGTATTTTCTGTTCTTTGGCAAATAGAATTCCAAACATCTACCATCCTTTGTGCAGAGAAGTGCTACCTACCGTCTCTCTTGAATAGTCTGGCCCTAATTCTCACACTACGTCCCCTAGTTCTGGAATCCCAAGGAGTGGTATTGCATGATGCTCAGACAGAAGAGGAATTAACAATGGAACCCCACAAGGAAGGGGTAGGCTCACTGGCACCAGACAGGGAGTACCTGGTTTGTGGGTGGTGTTGGGTGGGTTTGTGTTTATGTTAGGGGTCTTCACTGGCTCGCCTGCATGGTATAGACCCTCTGCCCAATACTGGTGGAATGCCAGAAGTGGTGGGATGAGGTCCTAGGTGGGCAATTAAGGATCTCAGTTGGTTTCCGGACAAGAAGGTGAGCCTTACGCCACCTACTCTGCATTAAATCGGAGTTGGGGGGAGCATGGCTTGGGGGTGTAATAGAACATCCATCCTGACCGATTAATCAAGCCCCCACCACCCAGTCTAGATCTGGAAGAGAACAAAATTCCGTCCTTTTGTCTTCATAAAGCAAGGAGTGTGTGGCACAGTTCAGACTCTATTTAAAACAGGAGGTATATGTATATATTGGTTGGGATAAACATGATGAAAAACACTAAAGGGTTTAGCATCTTTGAATGTAGATACATTTCCAAGGCCAGGATGAAGGCAACTGTTAAGAGAAACAACAGAAGAAACAGCTGAGACTCTGATCATCATTTTCCAATCCTCTCCAACTACAGACAAGGTCTTGGAGGACCAATGTTTAAAAAAAGGGACAGACTGAGTAATTACAGGCAATCAACCTGAACTCAGCTAAATTGTAGGTGACGTGGTTAAAACATTTAAAGATAGTACAAAAAATTGGGCACGTGGTTGATAGTGAATGGAAAGTAGTAGATGAAAGAAATTATTGATGAGGGTCAGGTGGGCAGAGGAAATGAAAGTCAACGGTGAGGTAATGCATGGAGGTGTAGGGGAGAAATGGACAATAAATGGAGGATTCTGTGAAGTGTAAAAGACAAAAGGAAGTTTGGGTCAAATTCCTGGAACTCCCTTTCCAACAGCACAGTGGAGTCCCTACATCCCAAACACTGTAGTGGTTGTAGAAGGCATTTTAATACCACCTTCTCCAGGGCAGATAGCGGTGGGTAATAAATCCTGGCCTTGGAAGTGACACCCAAATTACTCTTGAGCGAATAAGATAGGTAGCCACCAGTTTTCACCGACTGCATGCGCTCTCAGAAATGCTCACAGTCACCACGTACCAACAGTTGGTGGGGGGGGGAGGTGTGGAGGAAGGGGGCGTGGGTGGTGCTGAGCTGCATTTCTGCCAAAAGGATCTACCCTTCTGATAACTCAAAATTGGAGTCACACTGCATAACTCAACTGCAAATGTACCCAAGAGACTCATCAGACACATGCAGGGGTCTAAATTCGATGCACAGGAGAGCAAATGACATTTCTAAATGCCCAGTGGAAGCCGCAGAGTGAGGTTTGCAATTCACTACGCCAAGGGTTCAGTTTCACTCGGATCAACTGACCTTGGCTATCGATCACCCAGAGAGAGTCAATGGCATTTTGTAACATTAACAGCAACGCAAGGTTGTGTGATCTCAGAAATTAGATTTGCAAATAAAAAAGTGAACCCAGTGCAACAGAAACGATGCTACTTTGTTTAACGGTGCAAGTGTGATCTCAACCCTTGAGACGAATTAATTTTCAGTATTAAATATTGGCTGTCACTGAACTCGTGAATGAGACTCCATTCAATCCCTGTACTTTAACACGGCCAAATGACCTCACATTACAAGTTAGAAGGTTTTGATTTTGTCTGAAACGAAATTTAAAATAAAACAAAATAACTGAGCTGAAATTGGTCCATTGTTAACTTGTGCGACCCGTACAAAGGGTTTCACTTCACTGTACGTGAAAGCTACTCACCCAGAAAGCATCCTTAAAGCGCAGTCGAGTCATAGCGAGCAGGAGCAAAAAAAAATGAAACTTCCCGGTGAAGTTGATATAACCCTCTCTGGTCAGTGTTGCTTCAAGGATCGGATCTTTGGCGTAGGTTTTTTTTTCTCGCTTTTTAACTAAATCACGACCTCCAACGGGATTCGATCCTCCAGCTCCAACACTCTTGTTGGTAGCAACCTGCCCGAAGAGAGAACAAGGAAGAGGGTTTTTTGTTCACTCAAGTGATGTCAGAAGTAACCGCAATTAACACGTGAAAGAGTTTCAGCAACACTCCAGAGAGTTCAGAAACCGACAACGCGCAGCGTGAGGCAATTTATTTCGAGATTCTTGGAGTGCAGGATGCAAAAGATATGCTGTAACAAATTTATTTTTATATGTAAAAAGGTGTCTATGAGGAGGTAAGGTGAAAACAGCTGTCAACGTAGTTGAGAATCATTCGCCGAGATCACGACTTCCTGCAGCACAGAGAAAGGGTTCACTGAGATAAATGGAGCTCAAGGAGAGGGAATTCTTGAGTTGTAAGTTAGCGATTTTTGTGATGTATATGATGCTGCAAGGCAGGCTGCATTCACAGTTCCAAAAGCAGTTTATTTTATTAGCAACCTTAATTCCTGCAACCACGTACACTTGTTTTAATTTCAAAATCCTACTCAGATGATACACTTCTGGAACAAATGGGGCTTGAAACCAGGCCTTCTGGCTCAGAGGCAGGGACACTACCATAAAAGCCTTTAATGTTTTTGAAAAGAACTTGCTTGGACCTATTGTAATGCATTTCCACAACAGGTGGGACTCGAACCTGTACCCTCTGACTCAGAGGTAGGAACACTACCACTGCATTCATCCATTTTTTTGACATGACAAATCAAGATCACGTGTCTTATCCCAGTTCATCTCATAGTCTGTAAGGTTGTTTTGGCATCTGCGCATCTTGCTTCTTGCCAACATCGAGTTCAGTGCCCTCTCCACTTTTATCTGTCTCTCAAAGATTTCCAGAGTTGTTGCAATCCCCACCTAGTTTTGCTTTGATCAGTGATCACTTAAAATCAGTGAGACACTTCCTGACACCACTCATGGCAAAGCAGTCTTAACATCACATCATACTAGAGGCCATTCAGCCTCTCATCCATGTTAGCATGATTCAGCTATTCCCCACTTGGCCCTGCCAGTACTTCCCCTTCAGGTTATCATAGAATCCCTACAGTGCAGAAAGTGGACATTTGGCCCATTGGGTCACACCAACCCTCCAAAGAGGAGCATCCCACCCTCCCAGTCCCTATAACCCCACATTTACCATGTGGTAACTCACCTTGCCTTCACATCACTGGACACAATGGACAATTTAGCCTGGCCAATCCACCTAACCTGCACATCTTTGGACTGTGGGAAGAAACCAGAGCACCCAGAGAAAACCCATGCAGACACTGGGAGAATGTGCAAACTCCATACAGACAATTGCCTGAGGCTGGAATCAAACCTGCATCCCTGGCACTGTGAGGCTCATCAGTGCTAACCACTGAGCCACCATGCCGTGATTCTTATCCAATTGTCTTTGGAAAGCCATGATTGAGTCTGCCCTCATCACCCTATCAGGGCTTTGATAGATTGCTATGCTGAATGATGACAGCAGGAGGCTGAGTATTGAGATCCTAACCATTGGCTGTGTAAAATATTTTTTCTCTGTCTTGCTGACCTTCTTTATCCGATCACCCAAAATCATTCCCAACTGGTTCTTGACTCTTCTCCCAGTGAAGCAGTTTCTCTGTATTACACTGTCTGGTGATTTTGAACAGCTCAATCAAATCTCCCTTTAGTTTCCTCTTTTCTAAGGAGAAGAGCTATCAGCTTTGACAATCTGTCCAGGTGCATCATCCCTGGAACTATTCTTATAAAATTTATTTTGACACTTTCTAAAGCTTTCACATCCTTTGGGACGTCCAGTGCCCAGGTTTGGACAAGATGCTCTAACTGAGGCTGAAACAATGTTTTATAAGGGTTCATCATGACTTTGTGCTTTTCTATATGGCCTGGATATAGAGGGAACATGGATGTGAGGTTCCTTTCATGGGATTGTGGCCATTGGTAAAATATCACCTTGACTTTGTTCGTCATTCACAAAGTAACTGTCATCAAATTAAGTTTAAAAAGAACCTTGTGCTCAGTCTGTTGCAAAAGACTAGACTATTGCCCATTATAACTATATTGAAGGGCTGAGCCATGATGGTAGAACCAGCAGAGACTGCTATGCTTGATGATGAGAGTGGGAGGCAGTATTTTGTCTTCTGGATCAGAAAGGGGAACCACTTCTGGTGTGTCTCCACACCCAAACAGGATAACCAAACTCTGACAAATAAATAGCCTGTCAACCCTATCCTAAAGTCAATAAATGTGGAACTGGAAAAGCACCACATTTTCCAGCTCCTCATTTATTGACTCTAGCTTCCAGCATCTGCAGTCCTTGCTGTCTCCAAATCCTATCCTAAACATCAGCAATACTTGTAGCTTTATGGACAAAGGCAGCAGTAAACTGGGAACACCATCACCAGCAAGTTCCCGTCCAGGTTTCACACCATCTTGACTTAGAAATATATCGCTGATCCTTCACTGTCACTCAATCAAAATCCTGGAACTCCTTTCCTAAGGGCATTGTGGGTGTATGTATAGCAAAAAGATTGAAGTGGCTTACCACCATCTTCTCAAGGGCAACTAGGGATAGGCAATAAGTGCTGGCCCAGCAGCGAAGCACACATTTCCATGAATGAATAAAAACTAACCATCATCTGTTCCCCAGTTTCACCTCCTATCAGATAGCCCTGTCACACCCTACTAGATGGTAACAACCAACACCACTGCGGCAGCAACATTGGATAACAACTGCAGTGATTCAAGGACAAGATCCATTATCGTATCAGAACAACCAGAAATGGACAATTAATAAAACCTTGTCAGTGTTAACCACACACCTTGAATAAAAGTTTCCACAAGGTTTTAATTGATGCAGGCCTTCTCTCCCTTTCACACCCACTCTCCAGAGTACAAGATGTTCTGGTTGACTGTTGCAGAAGTTTTGCGAAAAAAAAACAGAATTGCAGATCTGCGCATTTTAGAACTGGAAGTGATTTGTAATGAATTGGGGTTAAACATTCAGCACCTCTTGATTTTCTGTTGTTAAGCAGGCCAACATAAAATTGCCCATGGTTCACAACAGTCATAGTTTAATTATTGACAACCTCTATGATGATAAAATAAAACAGTCAGTACAGAAAGGAAGAGAAAACTTTGCAACACGGCTTGCATCTTTAGCATTCTGCAGCCAGGATATTGTGTTTTGAGCCTAGTCTGTATTAAGTAACACATATGACAACTTATTTTCATGTGGCTAGAGGAGATGGATGCTGCAGACAAGTTCCACACTTGAAGACACATTTTCACAAATGTCTATACCAGTCACTTCTGGAACCAATTACCCCAGGTTTTAATCCATTATGATGTCAGGATAATCAACTGAAAAATCTAGCTGCTGTCAGCTCGTCTCCTATTATTCTGTAAGCAGAAATATTTTTTAATTCAATGTCAGCTTGTTTGGTTGGTACAGTATTCACATGTTACTGAATTCAAGCCACACTGTGGGACTTGAGAACACAATTGAGGTTGTCAGTTCAGTGCAGCACCAAGTAAGTGTTGATTGATTCAGGGTGTGATTGTTGAGATGAAATGTTAAGGTCGCTATCACGTGGACATGGATGATCCAGTGACAGTATTCAAAGGACATCCTACCCTTTAGCCATCAATAGTTTTTTTAAAATTCATTCATGGGATAAGGGTGTCACTGGCTACGCAGCATTTATTGCCTAGAGGGCAGTTAAGAGTCAACCGCATTGCTGGGGTGCTGTGGGTCTGGAGTCACATGTAGGCCAGACCAGGTAAGGATGGCAATTTCCTTCCCTAAAGGACATTAGTGAACCAGATGGGTTTTTCCCCAACAATCGACAATGGATTCCTGGTCATCCTTAAATTCTTAATTCCAGATATTTATTGAATTCAAATTCCACCATCTGCCGTGATGGGATTCGAACCCAGATCCCCAGAACATTATGTGGGTCTCTGGATTAACAGTCCAGGCCATTGCCTCACCTGATATTTTATTTGTTCATGGGACATGGGCATCACTGGCTGGGTCAACAATTATTGCCCATCCTGAATGCCCTTGAGAAGATGGTGGTGGGCTGCCTTCTTGAACCATAGCAGGCCGTGGTGCATAGGTACACACACATTTTTGCCAAGGGAAGAGTTGGATAAATCTGACCCAGTGACAGTGATCTAAGGTCGATATAATTCCTAGTCAGGATGATGTGTGGCTTGGTGGGGGAGAACTTGCAGGTTGTGGTGTTCCCATGTTTCTGCTGCCCTTGCCATTCTACATGATAGAGGTTGTGAGGTTGAAAGATGATGTCTAAGGAGATTTGGTGAGTTGTTGCAGTGCATCTTGTAGATGGTATACACTGCCATGCATCAATGGTGGGATATTAATGTTCGAGGTGGTGAATAGGGTGCCAATCTAGGGACTGCTTTGTCCTCAATGCTATTAAGTTTCTCGAGTATTGTTGAAGATGCCACCTATCCAGGCAAGTGAGGTTCAACTGGCTTTTCACTCATTAGTTTGTGGTAACTTGTTATGTACAAAAGATGGCTTTTATATTTGTCTATATAACAATTATTGTATTTAAAGTAAAACAATTGTGTTGATAGTACGGCAGGTTTTCCTGGAGATGTGATAAGGTGCCTAATAAGTGCAAGTTTTTTTTATTCATTGGATGAGGGCATCGCTGGCCAGGCAGCATTTATTGCCTCCCCTAATTGCCCAGAGGGCAGTTAAGAGTCAACCACATTGCTGTGGGTCTGGAGTCACATGTAGGCCAGACCAGCCAAGGATGGCAATTTCCTTCCCTAAATGACATCAGTGAACCAGATGGATTTTTTCTGACAATTGATTCACAGTTATCATTAGATTCTTAATGCCAGATATTTTATTGAATTCAAATTCCACCATCTGCCATGGCAGGATTTGAATCCAGGTCCCCAGAACATTATCTGGGTCTCTGGATTAACAGTCCAGTGATAACACCACTAGGCCATCACCTCCCCTGTTCAGAGTATGATTTAAGAAGAAC